GCAACTCCTGCTTTTTTTGCTCTCTGTTTGCTTGGTAAATCTTCCTCCGTCCCTTTATTTTGAGCCTATGTGTATCCTTGCATGTGAGATGGGTTTCTTGGATACAGCACCCTGATGGGTTTTGACTTTTTATCCAATTTGCCAGTCTATGTCTTTTGATTGGGGCATTTAACCCATTTACATTTAAGGTTAATATTGTTATGTGTGAATTTGATCCTGCCATTTTGATGCTAGCTGGTTGCTTTGCCCATTAGTTTATGCAGTTTCTTCATTGTATCAATGCTCTTTACCATTTGGTACATTTTTGGAGTGGCTGGTACTGTTTGTTCTTTTCTATGTTTAGTGCTTCTTTCATGAGCTCTTGTAAAGCAGGCCTGGTGGTGATGAAATCTCTGAGCAATTGCTTGTTCATAAACGATTTTTATTTCGCTTATGAAGGATAGTTTGGCTGGATATGAAATTCTGGGTTGAAAGTTCTTTTCTTTAAGGATGTTGAATATTGGCCCCCACTCTCTTCTGGCTTGTAGGGTTTCTGCCAAAAGATCCTCTGTGAGTCTGATGGGCTTCCCTTTGTGGGTAACCCAACCTTTCTCTCTGGCTGCCCTTAGCATTTTTTTCTTCATTTCAACCCTGGTGAATCTGACAATTATGTGCCTTGGGGTTGCTCTTTTTGAAGAGTATCTTTGTGGTGTTCTCTGTATTTCCTGGACTTGAATATTGGCCTGCCTTGCCAGGTTGGGGAAGTTCTCCTGGATAATATCCTGAAGGGTGTTTTCTAGCTTGGATTCATTCTCTCCGTCACATTCAGGTACACCTATCAAATGTAGATTAGGTCTTTTCACATAATCCCATATTTCTTGAAGACTTTGTTCATTTCTTTTACTCTTTTTTCTCTAATCTTGCCTTCTTGTTTTATTTCATTGAGTTGATCTTCAATCTCTGATATCCTTTCTTCTGCTTGGTCGATTCGACTATTGAAACTTGTGTATGCTTCGTGAAGTTCTTGTGTTTTTCAGCTCCATCAGTTCATTTATATTCTTCTCTAAGCTGTTTATTCTTGTTAGCATTTCGTCATATCTTTTTTCAAGGTTCTTAGTTTCTTTGCATTGGGTTAGAACATGTTCTTTTTTTTTTAACGAATTTATTAATTATTGTTATTATTTATTTATTTTTAGCAGAGTCTCACTCTGTTGCCAGGCACCAGGCTGGAGTGCAGTGGCACAATCTCAGCTCACTGCAACCTCCACCTCCTGGGTTCAAGCAATTCTCCTGCCTCAGCCTCCTGAGTAGCTGGGACTATAGGTGCACACCCAGCTAATTTTTGTATTTTTAGTAGAGACAGGGTTTCACCATGTTTGCCAGGATGGTCTTGATGTCTTGACCTTGTGATCCACCTGCTTCAGCCTCCCAAAGTGCTGGGACTACAGGCTTGAGCCACTGTGCCTGGCCTAGAACATGTTCTTTTAGCTCAGAGAAGTTTGTTATTACCCACTTTCCAAAGCCTGTTTCTGTCAATTCATCAGACTCATTCTCCATCCAGCCTTGTTCCCTTGCTGGTGAGGAGTTGTGATCCCTTGGAGAAGGAGAGGCATTCTGGTTTTGGGTGTTTTCATCCTTTTTGCACTGATTTCTTCCCATCTTTGTGGATTTATCTACCTGTGGTCTTTGTAGTTGGTGACTTTCAGATGGGGTCTCTGAGTGGACATCCTTTTTGTTGATGATGAAGTTATTTTTTTCTGTTTTTAGTTTTCCTTCTAACAGTCAGGCCCCTCTGCTGTAGGACTGCTGGAGGTCCACTCCAGACCCTGCTTTCCTGGGGATCACCTGGGGCAGCCTCTACATTCTCCCTGGGAACTGCACTCCAGAGCTGTTCCTATTTGGCCATCTTGGATCTGTTTCCTGGTTCTTTTGTCTTTCTTTCTTAGAGACAGGGTATTTCTCTGTTGCCCAGGCTGGAGTGCAGTGGTATGATCAGAGCTCACTGCTGCCTTGACCTCCTGTGCTCAAGTGATCCTCCTGCCTCAGCCTCCCAAGTAGCTGGAACTACAGGTGTGTGCCACCATGCCTAGTTAATTTTTTAAATTTTTTGTAGAGACAGGGTTTCAGTATGTTTCCCAGGCTGGTCTCAAACTCCTGGCCTCAAGAGATCCTCCCACCTCAGCCTCCCAAAGTGCTGGGCTTACAGGTGTGAGCCACTGTGCTTGGCATCATTGTTTAATATTTAATGAGAGTATACAGGGTGCTAAATTTATTTTGCCTCAGTCAGTGTTCCCTAACAAACCACTAGGGTGTTTCATGCCAGGCTGGCCAGGTACAGTGGCGCACAGGCCAAAAGTTACTGCCACACAGCCTCCTTTTTGAATGCCCCAGAGTAGAGAGGAATCGGGACAGCTGCGTTTTTGCAGCCAGCAAGGAGCTCCAGAGAGATTCTTTCCCAGCAGCCCCTGCCTTCCAGACAGGCGATCTTATGCTCCAGTTATGTTCTGCAAATCTCAGCTTTTTTCACATCCTCATCAGTCAACATCATCAGCAAGCTTTTGGGGAGAGAGCTAAAAAAGTTCTTATCTTTAAAAAAAAAAAAAAAAAAGGAAAGCTGTGCATTAGAGGGACTTTGTCCAGCGCTGTTACACCCGCCCTCCCTTCCTTCTACTCAAACATAACTTCCAAAACTGTCTCCAGCACAATAACATCCCCCCTGGCTGGATTTACGACTTTCCAAGCTGCAGTGGAGAAGAAAAAGGCCCAACTCTGAGAAAAACAAGTATCTAGGGAGGACGGTGTGTGCTGAATTTTAAATGTTAAATTACGGTGAAAAATTTGCTGGAAAAGAAACTATCTTCCAAGTTGTGCTGCATAGTAAAGTTAATGGAACCCATATGTCTACTAAAGTTTAGAAAAACAAACTAAAAACAATACTTTCGCGCCTGCCAGGCTGAAATGTGATCTACTTCTTAATATTCACCCGACCCAGAGTAAAATGCTTTAAAATGGTAATGATTCCAAAGTGTAGCCCAAGCTCAGTGAATAAACAACAGACCTCAAACCCTGGGGGGCTTATGTTCTCATCGCAGCTCTGGGCAAGTCACTTAATCTCAATTTTCTTAGCTCTGAAATGGGGATGGCAGCACCTCACGAGGTGTTTACAAGGCGTACTAAGACGATTGTAAAATTTTACAAATGTTTAATAACTGGTGCCCTTTTCATAATTTGGCTTGATAACATTTCATCATTCATCCAGTGGTGTGGAAATAAATGAGTACGGGGCTATTCACTCAGGGCTTGCTATGGTATGGGAGTCAGCCTCCATCACTTTGGCAGAAAGTCAAAGCAGGCAGAGGAATGAGAGAATTTACAGTGACAGAAAGGGAAGGTTTCAGGTGTGCCTGGATTAGAGCTTATTAGCACAGGGAAGTGGGAGATGGACTAAGAAGCAGGGCAGGCTGGGCAGTGGCTCACGCCTGTAATTCCAGCATTTTGGGAGGGCAAGGCAGGAGGATGACGAGGTCAGGAGTTCAAGACCAGCCTGGCCAACATAGAGAAACTCTGTCTCTACAAAAAAAAAAAAGCCAGTCTCAGTGGCTCATGCCTGTAATCCCAGCACTTTGGGAGGCTGAGGTGTGCGGATCACGAGGTCAAGAGATTGAGAACATCCTGGCCAACATGGTGAAACCCGTCTCTACTAAAAATACAAAAATTAGCTGGGCACGGTGGCCTGCTCCTGTAGTCCCAGCTACTCAGGAGGCTGAGGCAGGAGAATCGCTTGAACTCAGAAGGCAGAGGTTGCAGTGAGCCAAGATCGTGCCACTGCACTCTAGCTTGGGTACGGAGCGAGACTTCATGTTAAAAAAAAAAAATTAGCCGGGCATGATGGTGCATGCTTGTCATCCCAGCTACTAGGGAGGCTGAGGGAGGAGAATCGCTTGAACCTGTGAGGCAGGGGTTGCAGTGAGCCGAGATTGCGCCACTGCACTCCAGCCTGGTGACAGTGCGAAACTCCGTCTAAAAAAAAAAGAAAAAAGCAGGGAATCTTGGGTGATTAGTCTGGGGAGCATCTTTGGCTTTCTCTGCTTGGTGCTGAGCTGGAAGCCAAGTGGTTTGGCTTCCCCAGCTGGTTGCTGCGGAGGTTGTGAGACTCAGTTCTATTCCTAATGGTCTGGCCACTGTTCATTGTTTGTATATAAAAAATTAAAGATCGGAGGTTCTAACTATCCCAGGAGACAACCAGAGGCCTGCCTAGCAGCTTGGGGAGGGATTTATATGTATCTGTGTACCTTTTAAATACTTTTAGAAGAAGCAAATTTAGAAGACAGACTGCTTAACGAACAATTTTCACTCTCTTGAGTCAATGGGCACAACGAGCTAGCTATGAGAATGACTGAGTTCCAGACATGAGCCTGTGCTAGGATGGAAGAAAGGGAGCAGGGGAAGACTGTGACAAGTCACATAACCTCTCAGGGCTTCAGTCTCCTCGTGAACCAGCTTCCGGTTCCTATCTGACTAACCTATCGCATTGTTTGGTCTTGAGGATAAATGGCCTAATTGCTTGTAAAAGGAACCTATAAAGCAATTTGTGGGGTTTTGTGTGTTTTCCTTTAAGACAGAGTCTTGCTTTGTCACCCAGGCGTCTGCCTCCTAGATTCTAGCGATTCTCATGCTTCAGTCTCCCAAGTAGCTTCAATTACAGGTGCGTGCCACCATGCCTGGCTAATTGTTGTGTTTTTAGTAGAGACTGGGTTTCACTGTGTTGGCCAGGCTGGTCTTGAACTACTGGCCTCAAGTGATCTGCCCGCCTTGGCCTCCCAAAGTGCTGATATTACAGATGTGAACCACCACACCCAGCCCCTATAAAGCAGATAGTTTAAACCCTATAAAACAGGTATTTTAGAAGTGTGCTAAGGAAGAATGTGACATAAGCTTTTGAGGTTCCACCTAGTGGACTGGAGTCTTGAAAACGCCCACATGTCCTGTAGGGAGACTGCTGGAAGCTCTTAAAAACTCACCGTGGCAGGCGCCTGTAATCCCAGCTACTCGGGAGGCTGAGTCAGGAGAATTGCTTGAAGCCAGGAGGCAGAGGTTGCAGTGAGCCGAGATTGCGCAACTGCACTGCAGCCTGGCGCCTGGAGAAAGAGCAAGACTGTGTCTCAAAAAAAAACCCCAAAAACCTCACCCTCTTTCCCATCTCTGTCTCCACCAAGGTCCACCCCTGCCTGCTCCTCTGCTCCTCTGTGTTCAGTCTCTGTGAATGGAATCACCAAAAACTTGGGTGGTTTCTTTGGGCTCCACAGGAAACTTACATACTTGACTTTAACCTCTCATTCATCTACGTATTCAAATACAATGGGCTCCGTATTGCTATTTTAACATGAAGTCATAAATGTTTTTCAAAATTTCTTATTCTAAATTTCTAATATAGTAAATATTGATAGTTCGCAATATTCTGATATAGTGAATATTGATAGTAACAAACATAAACAAAATCTCTTTGGGTCTTGAATAACAGTTAAGAATGTAAAGGCGCCAGGTAATACTTTGAAAGGCCGGGGCCGTCAGATCACCTGAGACCAGCCTGGCCAACAATGGAGAAACCCCGTCTCTACTAAAAATATGAAAATTAGCCTGGCATGGTGGCGGGCGCCTATAATCCCATTCTCAGGAGGCTGAGGCATGAATTGGCGTGAATCTGGCAGGTGGAGATTGCAGCAGTGAGCCAAGATTGTGCCACTGCATTCTGGCCTGGGCAACAGAGCAAGACTCAGTCTTAAAAAAAAAAAAAAAAACAAGACGTAAAAATATAAAGAGATCCTAAAACTAAAACTTCGTTAGCCACTGCGTTAGGTAATCTTACCCTTTGTCTCAGTTATTCGACTGCTAGGATTCTTTTTTTTTTTTTTCTGAGGTGGAGTCTGGCTCTTGTTGCCCAGGCTGGAGTGCAGTGGCGCAATCTTGGCTCACCACAACCTCTGCCTCCTGGGTTCAAGAGATTCCACTGCCTCAGCCTCCTGAGAAGCTGGGATTACAGGAGCCTGCAATGACACTTGGTTAATTTTGTATTTTTAGTAGAGACAAGGTTTCCTACATGTTGGTCAGACTGATCTTGAACTCCCGACCTCAGGTGATCCACCAGCGTTGGCCTCCCAGAGTCCTGGGATTACAGGTGTGAGCCACCGCGCCCAGCCGAGGATTCTATTTTAAGGCCATAGAACTGCACGTAGAAATGAATGCACAGTATGCTCATTGCAGCACAATTATTAGTAGAATCAACCTGAGTCTCTGAATAGGATTAAATAATTCATAGTACATTCATAAAATAAAATATTATATGGTTGCTAAACATATTTTCAGAGAATTTTGATGACGAAGGAAATGCTAGCAAGGTAATAGTAAATGAAATAGCAGTACATGAAACCATATTGAGAATGATCCCAATTTTGTTTTTATGTGTATGTACAGCTTAAAGAAAATATATTATACACACCAGACTGTTCCCAGTGATTCTCCATTTTGGGTTATTGGCCTCTGGGTGATTTGTTTCTTTATATTTTTCTGTATTTTACATGCTATCTACAGAACACTAACATATTTTTATAATTAGAAAAACATAAAAGTTATTTAAAAAACATTTATAACACCACGTGTGTGTGTGTGTGTGTGTGTGTGTGTGTGTGTATTTATTTATTTATTTATTGAGACAGAGTCTCGCTCTGTGGCCAGGCTGAAGTGCAGTGGAGCAATCTCGGCTCACTGCAACCTGCGCTTCCTGGGTTCAAATGATTTTCCTGCCTCAGCTTCCCAAGTAGCTGGGATTACAGGTGTGCGCCACCACGCCCAGTTAATTTTTGTATTTTTAGTAAAGAAAGGATTTCATGTTGGCCAGGATGGTCTGGATCTCTTGACCTTGTGATCTGCCTGCCTCAGCCTCCCAAAGTACTGGGATTACAGGTGTGAGCCACTGTGCCCGGCTGTATTTTTTCTAAAAACAAGATTTTACTCTGTCATGTAGGCTGGAGTGCAGTGGCATGATCTTGGCTTACTACAACCTCCACTTCCCAGGTTCAAACCTCCCACCTGAGTCTTCCAAGTAGCTGGGACTATAGGGGCCAAGTAGCCACCACGCCCAACAAATTTTTATATTTTTTATAGAGATAGGGTTTCGCCAAGTTTCCCAGGCTGGTCTCAAAGTCCTGAACTCAAAGCTGTCTGCCCAGCTTCGTCTCTCAGAATGCTGGGATGACAGTGAGCCACTGTACCCAATTAACATTTACACTTAATACATAAGCTTCCAGCCTTCCAAAGGACAAGGATCCATAATTTACTTTTTGTGTGTGTGGGAACGGGAGAGAAGAAGCATTTGCTATAGCACTTACAGGTTGAAATCCTGTCTAGGCTGGGCACAGTGGCTCACGCCTGTAATCCCAGCACTTTGGGAGTCAGAGGAGGGTGGATCATGAGGTCAGGAGTTCAAGACCAGACTGGCCAGCATGGAGAAACCCCGTCTCTACTAAAATTACAAAAAATTAGCCGGGCATGGTGGCATGTGCCTGTAATCCCAGCTACTTGGGAGGCTGAAGCAGGAGAATTGCTTGAATGAGGGAGGTGGTGGTTGCAGTGAGCCAAGGTCACGTCATTGTACTCCAGCCTGGGCAACACAGATCGAGACTCTGTCTTTTTTTTTTTTTGAGACGGAGTTTTGCTCTTGTTACCCAGGCTGGAGTGCAATGGCAGGATCTCGGCTCACCGCAACCTCCGCCTCCTGGGTTCAGGCAATTCTCCTGCCTCAGCCTCCCAAGTAGCTGGGATTACAGGCACGCGCCACCATGCCCAGCTAATTTTTTGTATTTTTAGTAGAGACGGGGTTTCACCATGTTGACCGGGATGGTCTCGATCTCTTGACCTCGTGATCCACCCGCCTCGGCCTACCAAAGTGCTGGGATTACAGGCTTGAGCCACCATGCCCAGCCGAGAGACTGTCTTAAAAAAAAAAAAAAAAAATTCCTGTCTAGCCACTACTTCAATATCCAATCAAATGTCTGGTGTCTGAAAAGTCTTCTCTCTTTTAATCACAGAGCCCAAGCTGCAACCAGGATAGGCCAGAAATCAAGCATATCAGTGGGAACAGGCAGAGGCCACTGACTCAAATGCATAGCAAAGTCAATTTTCTTTGGCATTAACCTTGGAAAAAATGATAAGACCAAAAGATAAGCCTGTGAGGCCAGGCACAGTGGCTCATGCCTGAATCTTAACACTTTGGGAGACCAAGGTGGGAGGACTGCTTGAACCCAGGAGTTTGAGACCAGCTGGGCAACAAAGTGAGACTCTGTTTCTACAAAAAATTAAAAATACAAAAATTAGCCAGGTGTGGTGGCACACACCTGTAGTCCGAGCTACACAAGAGGCTGAGGTGAGAGGGTCATTTGAGCCCAGGAGGTTGAGGCTGCAGTGAGCATGTTTGCACTCCAGCCTGGGTGACAGAGCAACACCCTGTCTAAAAAAATAAATAACCAGCACTTTGAGAGGCCAAGGCAGGTGGATCACGAGGTCAGGAGTTTCACCAGATGGTAAAACCCTGTCTGTACTAAGAATACAAAAATTAGCCACCACGACCAGCTAATTTTTTGTATTTCTAGTAGAAATGGGGTTTCACCATGTTAGCCAGGTTGGTCTTGAACTCCTGACTTCAGGTGATCCGCCTGCCTTGGTATCCCAAAGTGCTAGGATTACAGGCATGAGCAATGGTGCCTGGCCAAGGCTTACAGTTCATACACCAGGTCTGAACAGCAATTACTTGCTGCCTAAGTCTTTTTTTTTTTTTTTTTTTTGAGACAGTCTTGCTCTGTTGCCCAGGCTGGAGTGCCAATGGCATGAAATTCACTCAACTGCAACCTCCGCTTCCTGGGTTCAGGCAATTCTCTTGCCTCAGCCTCCTAAGTAGCTGGGATTACAGGCATGCGCCACCACACCTGGCTAATGTTTTTGTGTTTTTAGTAGAAATAGAGTTTCACCATGTTGGTCAGGCTGGTGTTGAACTCCTGACCTCAAATGATCCACCCACCTAGGCCTCCCGAAGTGGTGGGATTACAGGCGTGAGCCGCTGTGTCCAGCTGCTGCCTAAGTCTTATTTTAGTTCGGGACATAGGTAAAATTGAACTTTAACCTATAAGTAAACAAGGATCCAATACAGGTGGCGGTGAAAGGTGAGGGCATATTTTCTTAGCTTTGAGTGAAGGGGATAAAAATTGAGAGGGAAATCCCCCCCCTTTTTTTTGCTGTTAATATTGAGATCTTATAATGTTGGACATATAAACGTAAATACTTATAATCTTCACCCCCACAAAAAAGTTTCAGTTGGTTACATAACATATGCCCAATAGAATTATGATTCATAATCTTTATGTGTAATTCTGTTTCTTAATCATAAAATATGTGATATCTTGTCAATGTTAGAAGATGGAGCAGGGACTCCTCTTAGGGGCCTGCCACGTGCCCTTACCCCTGCGCCCCCCACCACAAGCACGAAAGTAAAGGAAAAGCTTTGAGTCCTTCACAGGAAATTCCAGGCACCTAGCCAGCCTTGAGAAGGAAATGAGCAACCCAAGAAGAGAGTAGTAACTTAAACAATAGTCTCCCGAGAAAATTAGAGTCACAGGAGCTTTGGTTCCCTAAAGACAACATCATAATGTATGTTCTTGAGTTGTTTTTTGTTTTTGTTTTTGTTTTTGAGACAGAGTCTCACTCTGTCACCAGGATGGAGTGCAGTGGAGCGATCTCGGCTCACTGCAAACTCTGCCTGTCAGGTTCAAGCAATTCTCCAGCCTCAGCCTCCCGAGTAGCTGGGATTACAGGCATTCGACACCATGCCTGGCTAATTTTTTGTATTTTTAGTAGAGACAGGTTTCGCCATGTTGGCCAGGCTGGTCTTGAACTCCTGACCTTATGATCTGTCCTCCTCGGCCTCTCAAAGTGCTGGGATTACATGTGTGAGCCACCATGCCTGGCCAACTATGCCCAGCTAATTTTTGTATTTTTAGTAGAGACGGGGTTTCACCGTGTTGGCCAGGATGGTCTCAATCTCTTGAACTCATGATCTGCCTGCCTCAGTCTCCCAAAGTGCTGGAATTCCAGGCGTGAGCCACCGCGCCCAGGCTTTGAGTTGTTTATCAGAAAGCTGGACTCCCACTAGATGAAAAATGATGACCACTGTCACGCAGACCTTGGAAAAGGGAGAAGTTAGAACTGAACTCTGACTGTTGCTCTAAATTTCTACCTGAGCGGCCTGGAGAGAGTCACACCCACACGCCAGATTTTAACATTCTTTTCTGATGAACCTCAGATTTTAGACAAAGCCTTGCTCCTTAACCAGCTGCAAATCAAATAGTCTCTGAATCCACCGATGACCTGTAAGCTCTTGCTTTGAGATACCCCACTTTTTTGAGGCCAATGTATAATCTCCATATATTAATTTATTATTTGCCTGTAACTTCTGTTTTCTTTTTTTTCATTTAAAAAATATTTTTGGCTAGGCGCAGAGGCCAAAATTACCTCCTGATTACCTGAGGTCAGGAGTTCAAGACCAGCCTGGCCAACATGGCGAAATCTGTCTCTACTAAAAATACAAAAATTAGCCAGGCATGGTGACACATGCCTGTAATAGCAGCTACTCAGAAGGCTGAGGAGGAGAATTGCTTGACCCTGGGAGGTGGAGGCTGCAGTGAGCCGAGATTGCACCGCTGCACTCCAGTCTGGGCAACAGAGTGTGACTCCCTTTCAAACACACACACACAGACACACACACACACACACACACACATTTTATAAAAAATAGAGACAGTCTTACTATGTTTCCCAGGCTGATCTTGAACTCCTGGGCTCAAGCCATCCTCCCAGTTGAGCCTCCCAAAGTGCTGGGCTTACAGGTGTGAACCACCTGGCCAACTTCTGCTTTCTTAGAAACTCTTACTTATAAGTCATTAGGGAGTTCAAGTCTTCAGCGTCAGGTTGCTGCCCAGTACTTTTTGCATGGCACCAGGCAGTAAATGCTTCACTTCCTCTTGCTGTAAACCCCAGTGTCAGTTGTTCTTTTTTTTTTTTCTGTGTACTCGGTAAGCAGACCCAAGTTCAGTTGGGTAACAGTTAGGATTTTAAGGATTAAGAGAAGTAAGCAAACTTTGTTCTGGCTTTTTTCCAGTACATCAGAGATAAACCAGCACAGGGAGTAAAGTACAGGGTTTCATCATGTTGTCCAGGATGGTCTCAATCTCCTGACCTTGTGATCTGCCCGCCTTGGCCTCCCAGTGAAACACCCCAGCTTGGCTGTAATGAATACATTTTAAACAATCCTGCTAACTCCATTTTGGCTTTTGTTGGCCTGAAGATCCAATGCTTGTCTTTCTTCCTCTGGAGAATATGTCGGACAATAGGGCAGATCTGGCTGTGGGTAGGATATGACAGGCAGCACAGTCAGTGGGGTGACAGGAAGCATGGCCGCTCCTCGGGCTGCAGGGTCTGCTTTTTGATTTCCCTGGGTGATGGTCGTTTGGTCTCCCTGGTGTCCTATGCAATGGATCACAGCGACTTGACAGGGAAGCCACATAGCCTCGAGCAGGGCCGGAATTTCTTCTTCAATTTTGATAGTTTTTTCCGCAGAATTAAGTAGTCCCCTTTCCTGGTATATGGCCCCATGTACATGCACAGTAGCAAAGGCATACCGGCTGTCAGTGTAAATGTTTACCCTCTTGTCTTTTGCCCAGTGAAGGGCCCGAGTGGCGTGAGGGCTATAAGTTCAGCCTTCTGTGCGGAGGTGCCAACCAGTAGTGCTTGAGCCCAAATAATATCAGTCTCAGTTGTGACAGCTGCACCTTGCACACCCCCTGGTTGATGAAGCTGCTTCTATCGGTGAACAGAGTGGCATCCACTTGTTTTAGAGGGGTATCCTGCAAGTCCAGCCTACCAGTCTCTGTGACCACCAGTATTTCTGGGCAGTCATGGATGGGAGCAGAGAGAGGTCCGGGTCCGGGAGCAAAGTTGCTGGACTTCGGCACCGCGCAGGATGGAAAGTTAGCCTGGGCTGGTCCAGTAGCAGGCTCTGGTACTGTAGGATCCTTGAGTTTGACATCCATTTTTCCGAGGCACTTCTGAACAGGATTTCTACTGCATGGGGTGCCGTAAAGGCTAATTCTTGGCCCAAGGTTAACTTATTGGCTTCCGGGGACCAGGCTTGCAGTAGCTGCCATTGCCCGTAGGCAGTTTGGCCAACCCGAGGCCACTGGGTCCAAACTTTTTGATAGATAGGCAACTGGCCATCGCCATGGTCCCAGAGTCTGGGTGAGGACCCCCTTGGCTATGCCCTTGCTTTCATGGACAAACAGGTGGAAAGGTTTTCACACTTCTGGGAGTGCCAAAGCCAGTGTTTCAGTGAGAGCCTTTTTTAGGTTTTGAAAGACCTGTTTCTCTGCTTCAGTCCAGACCAATTTCCCACTTCCACTGGTGGCGGTGTAGAGCGGCTTGGCAATTTCTGTGAACCCCAGAATTTAGAGGCAGCAGTATCCTGTGGCCCCTAGGAATTCCCGCTGGTGTTTTTTTCGTGATGGGGGTTGGGATTGGCAAGATAGCCAGTTTCTGAGCATTGGAAAGAGCCTGCTTTCCCCGGGTGAGCTCGTATCCTAAATAAGATACGTTTTGGAGGCAGATTTGGGCCTTTTTTTGCTGGGACTTGGTATCTTGTTGATTTCTTGGGAAGGGGGTTTCCCCGTGTCTCCTGGAGGGCAGCCACCAAAATTTTTGCCTGTCTCTTGGAAGCTCTGTCAGCGGCATTTTCTCTATTATCAAACACCTTCTGAGCTATTTCTAAAAGTTGTGTGATGTTCATGCCACTAAAATCCTTCTAATTTTTGTAATTTTGTTTCCGGATGTTTGGGGCTACCTGAGCCACAAAAATCAAATTTGAAGTGTAGCTATTTTCCAGAGCAGCCGGACCAAATGGGGCGTAAATTCGAAAGGCCTCCTGGAGACGTTCCAAGAACGCCCCCGGAGACTCATCGGCCCCCTGGACCACTTCCGTGGTTTTGGATAAATTCATGGGTTTTTCGCCGGGCGCGGTGGCTCACGCCTGTAATCCCAGCACTTTGGGAGGCCGAGGCGGGTGGATCACGAGGTCAAGAGATCGAGACCATCCTGGTCAACATGGTGAAACCCCGTCTCTACTAAAAATACAAAAATTAGCTGGGCACGGTGGCACGTGCCTGTAATCCCAGCTACTCAGGAGGCTGAGGCAGGAGAATTGCCTGAACCCAGGAGGCGGAGGTTGCGGTGAGCCGAGATCGCGCCATTGCACTCCAGCCTGGGTAACAAGAGCGAAACTCCGTCTCAAAAAAAAAAAAAAAATTCATGGGTTTTCATGTAGCTCCCTTAATGCCCGCGAGTAGATACCGGCAAAAGTTGTCCAAAGCCCGCCTGCACCCAACGGAGGAAGCGGGTTCCCAGTTTGGTCTGCTGGTAGAGAAGACTTCCTCCAGCCGGTCGGAGAGAAATGCATCCGTGCTTCTCTGTGGATACGCTCCCTCTCCTCCGCAGTGAACAGGGTGAGGAGGATTTGCTGACAGTCGTCCCAGGGAGGACGATGAGTCTGAAGTATGGACTCCACCAGAGAGGTCGGAGCCGGGGTTTTTCGGAAAACGGCGGGTTCTGAGCTTTCCAATTATATAAGTCAGAGGTGGAAAATGGGACATAAACCGAAAACGGGACAGCTCGCTCACTGCCTGGTCGGGGGTGGTGCCTCCCTTAAGGGGAGGAGTGGGGCAGCCTCCTCCGGCCGAGGCCGCAGTTGGGGAGGCGATAGGCGGAGAGACCACAGGAGACAAGGATGAGGAGACAGGGGAATCCAAGGGGGGCAGGAGGCTGAGGGTCGGAGCAAAGGAGAAGTCTGGCTCAGCCAAGGAGGGGTCAGACCAGTCGCTGGGGCACCCACAACCTTTATGGTGCCAGAAACTCCAGACTGGTGGATGTTTAGCACAGTTTTTCTGTAACAACACCTGATCTGTTTTTGACAGAAAAGGCAGGACTGAGATGGCCAACCCAAATGGCTAGTGAGGGATTTGGCTCCCTGAGATGGGAAGTCTGCACTTAGGACCTTGAGAAAGTTTTCACCCAATCGTCTTGGGCAATAAGGACGACGGAACATACAAATTCAGACGCTAGAGACAAACAGGACAACAGACACAGACCTACAAGTCCAGATGTTAGGAACAAAACAGGACAACTGACTGAGGCAGATCAGGCACTGAGGTAGATAAATGATCATGGCAGTTTCAAGGACAAACAAAGGACTGGATCCTCAGACGTAAGCCTCTAAGGTCCCCACGCACTCACACATGCGCACACACATTTATTCAGAGGCTAATACAGTTGTCATTAACCAGACAAATTCACTGACCCATGGTCCTGTTCTCCAGCATCCTGGATTTTGGACAGGATCAATGAAGGGGTGCGCTCGTCAGGGCATGTCCCTTCCAGAAACCAGAAACCAGACAGAGCAGAGTCAGATCTGACTTACCTTCCTGGGACCTGAGACAATGTACTCTGGGCCAAATTTTGTGGGCAGCAGTGGCAATGGTCAGTCTGTTCCTCTCCAGAGACCTGGGACGTCTCAGGGGGTGCCTCCCCTATAGTTCACTGTTCGTCCGAGGAGGTCCGGAGAGAGCCTGGGTGCCTCCCCTACAGTTCACTATTCGTCCGAGGAGGTCCGGAGCGAGCCTGGTCTGTGACTGATGGTAATATATCTCGCTGGGGCCTCCAAATGTTATACCCGAGCGAGATTAAACAGAAGCGCCACACTCTGAGTTTGTTGAGAGTCCACTTTTAATGCCGGCGTCTGAGAGTCAGCTAGAGCTCAAATCTCTCAGCCACAAACAAAGGGCAGTCAACATTTTTATGCCAGTTTAGGATCAGGGGGTGGTAAGCAGATTATTACAGAAGCATAAGGAGCAGGTTAGGGGAAGGGGGGTGCCTAAGAAAAAAAGTTCTACTTAAAGTTTTTTTTTTTTTTTTTTTTAAAGATGGGGTTTCACCATGTTGGGCAGGCTGGTCTTGAACTCCCGACCTTAGGTGATCCACCCGCTTTGGCCTCCAAAGTGCTTGGATTACAGGCGTGAGCCACCGCACCCGGCCTAAAGTTGTTTTTTTACTCAGGATATGGGGTAGCAGTTGCACAGTTTTGCCAAGTACTGGATGTATAGGCCAGTGGGCCCTGTTTCTCAGAAAATTGGTTACAAAGATGCCACGTGTCTCAGACCACAAGCTCTCAGAAAAGAATGCTCTACATAACTCAGGGTGGGCAAAATGGAGTTAGCAGGATTGTTTAAAATGTATTCATTACAGCCAAGCTAGGGTATTTCACCAGAGTACTGGGATTACAGGTGTAAGCCACCGTGCCTGGCCAAAGTATTATTTTTTATATTTTTTAAATTTTAATATAATTTTAAATTAAAAAAAAATTTTTTTTTAAAGATGGTGTTTCACCATGTTGGTCAGGCTGGTCTTGAACTGCTGACCTCAGGTGATCCACCCTGTTTGGCCTCCAAAGTGCTTGGATTACAGGCGTGAGCCACCATGCCTGGCCTGAACAAAGTTTTAATAGGGAGAAACCAAGTTTTCTTAGGAAATGTAAAGACTTTTTTGTTTTTAAATAGGGGAAGTCCTGTTTGATTTGCATCTCGAAGAGTATATAGGAGTTTCCCTAAGAGAGAAGTGGAGAAAAGTACAGATGGTCCCTGACTTACAATTTTTCTTTTCACTTTACAATGATGCAAAAGTGATTCGCATTCACTAGAATTCATACTTTGAATATCCATACGACTGTTCTGTTTCCACTTTCAGTACAGTAGTCAATAAATTACATTAACTATTTAATACTTCATTATAAAATAGGCTTTGTGTTCGATGACTTTTCCCAATTGTAGGCTAACTTAAGAATTCTGGACCAGGTGTGGTGGCTCAAGCCTGTAATCCCAGCACTTTGGGAGGCCGAGGCAGTGGGTGGGGGCGAATTATGAGGTCAGGAGTTTGAGACCAGCCTGACCAATATGGTGAAACCACATCTCTACTAAAAATGCAAAAAAAAAAAAAATAGCTGGGTGTGGTGGCATGCGCCTGCAATCGCAGCTACTTGGGAGGCTGAGGCAGGGGAATTGCTTGAACCAGGGAGGTGGAGGTTTCAGCAAGCCAAAATCATGCCACTGCACTCCAGCCTGACAGAGCGAGACTTTGTCTCAAAAAAAAAAAAAAAAAAAATCTGTCACTCATATGAGCAGAAGAACAGAAGTGAGAGGCAGAAAGGCAGCTCCAAGCCCTTTCTAGAGCAGTGCTTCTCAAATGGGAAATTTTTGCTCCCCAGGGAATATTTGGCAAGGTCCAAAGATATTTTTGTTTGGTATGACAGGGGAGTATATAGAGTAGAGACTAGGGATTCTACCAACATTCTATAACATACAGGACAGCCCTTTACAACAGAATTCTCACAACAAATTATTATGTAGCTCCAAATGACAGTAGTGCCTAAGTTAAGAAACCCTCTTCTAGGGTGTAGTAAACCTTTTCTGCTTTTTTTTGATGACAGAAAAATAGGCCAGGCTGGTCTCGAACTCCTGGCTTCAAGTGATCTGCCCGCAACAAGAGCGTTGAAACTTCGTCTTAAAAAAAAAAAAAAAAAAACAGCTTGCAGTAAAGGAGCCATCCAAAACCCACCAAAAACAAAATGGCGATGAGAGTGATCTCTGGTTGTCCTCACTGCTACAGTGCTACCAGGGCCACGACAGTTTACAAATGCCATGGCAACATCAGGAAGTTACTCTATATAGTCTAAAAACGGGAGGCATGAATAATCCACCCCTCGTTTAGCATATCATCAAAATATAACCATAAAAATGGGCGACCAGCAGCCCTCGGCGCTGCTCTGTCTATGGAGTAGTCATTCTTTTATCCCTTTACTTTCTTAATAAACTTGCTTTCACTTTGCGCTGCAAACTCAGCCTGAATTCTTAATTGCATGAGATCCAAGAACCCTGTCGGGTCTGGATCAGGTCCCCTTCCCTGTAACATATTTCTGGCAACCCAGATGGGACTGTAGTGCAGAAACCCTCACCCAACGACTACCTTTGGGTAAGTGCTGGGGTCCTGTTATAGCAGAATCATGGATCACGTGGTAAACTGGATGTTTTCCATTTGCCCCTCTGATCCACTCTCTCTTCCTCCCTGCTCTGGCCCCAGGAAACTGACCTTTATGATCTGCTAGCAATGAATTTCCTTTCTCTCTGACTTTTTGTTGGATTTGGCCGCTGGAAGATGCCAGCAGGAAAGCAGAGGGTGAGAGGAGAGTGTGATCTGGGCATTTATTCTCCCGGCTCCCGTCCTGCTGGGCCTCTGTGGGTTGGCTGCATGCCTTCACCGAGGAGCTCTCCCACTGCCCCTGCAATTCTTCCTGTGTTCTGCAGTTCTGATCACCATTCCCTCTCTTTGCCCCTTCATGCCTAGGGGCAGCAGTGAAGTCCCCCAGGCTCCCCTGCTATTGCTACCTTTGTTGCTTTTTAAGGTTGCCATTAACCCCGCCCACATTTTGGTAAATAGTTCTTTTATTGAATTGTCCTCAATTACCCAGGGTGACAGCTCATGTGGTTTCCTGCCAAGCATTGAGTAGAACATATGATATGTGTATTTTCAACTTTACTAGACACTGATAAATCAAACTAAACGTCCAGTCTCAACCTCTTCCAGGAAACTGCTGATGAAGTCTTAGATATTTTCCAACTCCACTAAAATATTATTTTCTTGCTTTTCTCCATCTGAAATCTCTGCTCTAGTCAGATTGGCCCACTCACTGGTCCATGAGCATGCCTTTGCTGTTAGGTCTTCTTGAATAAAATATTCTTCCTTTTATTTTCTCATTTTTTAAATTTTGAGATGGAGTCTTGATCAGTTGCTGAGGCTGGAATGCAGTGGCATGATCTCGGCTCACAGCAACCTCCACCTCCTGGGTTCAAGCAATCCTCCTACCTCAGCGTCCCAGTAGCTGGGATTACAGGCGCCCACCACCATGCCTGGCTAAATTTATGAATTTTTAGTAGAGACAGGGTTTCACCATGTTGGCCAGGCTGGTCTTGAACCCCTGACCTCAAATGATTCACCCGCCTCGGTCTCCCAAAGTGCTGGGATTACAGGCATGAGCCACCATGTCCAGCCCTATTTTCCCATTTTTTTCATACTGCGATCATCCAAGCCCCTCCACTTACCTTCTCCCTCCCTCAGCTTCCTGTGAAGGAATCGTAACTGCTTTATAAAATCATTCAAACTGCTGAGGGAGCTAATCTCAGCACTTACTGCCTCCCACTGCCCCGTTCCCTGGGCATTCTGCTCCTCTAAATCTCTTACATAAGTGCTTTTCATTATTAATGAGTTCTTCCTGTGTGTATATCAAATGTCTTTCATTACACTACACTTCTCTTTAATGCAACTGAGGAACTGACTTCAGGCTCCCTCTCTGTATATATTTTTAGTATTCCCAATATCACCGAAGTTACCTTTTTAGTACTCACCCCTATTACCTAACTGTTGTTTACAGAGAGGTGCTCAATTCGTATTTTAAATGAATTCATATTTTAAATCAATTTACTGCACTGACACCAATAACCAAGAGTTAGTAGTGACGTGTAATCTCACAGCCTGAAATCTTCTCTGCAGTTCTAAATAGATGTAACTTTAATTTTCATGTCACTTTCATTTATTATGTCACATGTATCCTGTTAAATGGCCTGTTTGTCTGAGTTCAGAGAAGAGTACACTAGAGTAGTGCACGAATTAATGCCTATGAATTTACTGCAGGTATCAAACTTCCATTAAAATAAAAATACTCATATTCTCATTAGAAGACAGTTGTGATCCCCAGCCAAGTTAGTTAGTAGGAATCAAGGGCCTTCCGTTTTCCACCTGCCCCAGTGTGAGAATCTGATGTTTCTTTTTGGACTTTGAAGTATCTGTTAATATTTTACAGACATCATAAGGGAAATTAGCACAGAATAAATACATCCGTACTATTTTTAACTTCACAGGGGGAAAAAAGACAAAGAGAAATTAAGTTTCTCTACATGAAAATAGGAAGAGAAGTATTTTTCAGGAGTTTGCCTAAGCAAAAATTAAAAAAAAATAGTCCCTCAACTTTCATAGCACCCCCCAAATGCTACAAAAATCACCACCACCACCAATCTGTATATACTCGGGATACAAAATATCCTGGGTATTTATGGGATGCAAAATAATTTTCTCCATTTTTTAACATTGGGCTTTAAGTGTTTTTTTGGTTTGTTTGCTTGTTTTGTTTTAGTGAATCTGTGAGGAGCACTGCAATTGCATTTGTTAGAAGATACTCAGAGTAGCACGTAGATTCTAGAGGTGTGAGACAGGAGTGGGATTACAAAGCGCCTGAAATCCCAGCGCTTTGGGAGGCTGAGGTGGGTGGATCACCTGAGGTCAGCAGTTTAAGACCAACCTGGCCAACATGGCGAAACCCGGTCTCTACTTAAAAAACACAAAAATTAGCAGTGGTTGTGGGCACCTATAATCCCAGCTACTCTGGAGAATGAGGAATGAGAATAGCTTGAAACCGAAAGGCGGCAGTTGCAGTGAGCCGAAATTGCATCATTGCATTCCAGCCTGGGTGACAAGAGCGAAGCTCAATCTCAATAAATAAATAATTAAATAAATAAATTCTAGGGGTGTGATATCAGGACGCATTAGGCTGCAAATAACAGAATGTTTGATTAAAATAGATCCCTACTATCTAAAGTGTAGTCCTTGGGTCAGCAACATGGCATTATTTCAGTTTGACAGTTTCAGAGTTTGCCACACCCCAGACCTACTAAAGCAGAAGGTGCATTCTGACAAGCCCCCCCCCCCCGCCGTGATATGCACACTAAAGTTTGAAAAGCACCAGCTCAAAGAAAAGAAATGAGGGATTACTATTTCACATAGCAAGACATCTGAAGACAGGCAATGCTGGAACTGGTTAATCAGTTGCAAAATGATGTTGATAACTCAGCTGCTTCTCCACTTCCTGCTTTGGCAGCCTTCAGTGTGTTGCCCTTTGTGCCCAGAGGTAACCCTTCATTCTAACAAAATGGCTGCCATAGCTCCGACCATTCACATCTTCAGGAAAACTGCATTCAGAGGCATGAGGGGCAATCTCTTCTTGTGCTTCATTTTTTTTTTTTTTTTTTTTAAAGACAGTCTCATTCTGTTGCCCAGGCTGGAGTGCAATGGTGCAATCTCAGCTCACTGCACTTCTACTTCCCAGGTTCCAGTGATTCTCCTGCCTCAGACTCCCAAGTAGCTGGGATTACAGGTGTGTGCCACCACACCCGGCTAATTTTTGTGTTTTTAGTAGAGACAGCTTTCGCTATGTTGGCCAGGCTGGTCTCAAACTCCTGATCTCAAATGATCCACCTGCCTTGGCCTTTCAAAGTGCTGGGATTACAGGCATGAGCCACCACACTCAACTTATAAATACTCTTTATGAATAACAGAGTGGTAGAAGAAAAGAAAGAGTACAGGAGGTTAAAGACAGAATGAGTAGTGAGAAAATGAAAGTAGTCAATACAATTTTTTTTTTCTGAGACAGAGTCTTGCTCTGTCACCCAGGCTTGAGTGCAGTGGCATGATCTTGGTTCACTGCAGTCTCTGCCTCCTGGTTTCAAGCAATTCTCCTGTTTCAGCCTCCGGAGTACCTGGGATTATAGACACACGCCACCCCGCCCAGCTGAGTTTTGTATTTTTAGTAGAGATGGAGTTTTGCTATGTTGGCCAGGACGATCTTGAACTCCTGACCCCAGGTGATCCGCCTGCCTCATCCTCCCAGAGTGCTGGGATTACAGGCATGAGCCACCACACCCTGCTACAAACAACTTTTGAAGCTGTAAGAAAAAGAGAGAAATACAGTGAGGGTTAACGAGTAGCTCCAATGAGGGAAGGTGATATTTTGTCCTCCCCACCCATAGCACAGATCTGAGATTGTCCAAAGGAGAATGAGTCCCTGAAAGGAGACTGAGGGCTGTTGTTAGCAAGGAAAGAGGCAAGCCTTGGATGAAGGACAGGCAAGTTATCTGTTGAGGAGAGACATGTGGAGTGGCTTATGGGATGGTGGTCCTAGAAGCATTGTCTCCAGAACAGCAGAAACACCTAGGAACTTGTTAGACACGCAGATTCCCAGGCCACGCCTCAGACCCACTGAATCAGATCTCCGAGGATGGGACTCAGCAATCTCTGTTAAAGAGCCCTGCAGGTGATTCAGACCTACACTCACGTTTGAGAATAAATGCGCCAGGGACTTGTTTATATTGTACCTACCTGTATGCGTGCTTCTGTAGTTTAAACTGTTTTCTTGAGTCAGGAAATGCTTTCTGTTTTGTTCTTACACCTGTGGGCTCAGGTAGACTCAGACGCAGAGGCCCTGCTGGCCCTGAGGAGGGTGTATAGAACACTAGATAGACTAGGAGATCTCGAGTGTTGGACCTTTGTTGCTGTTCTTGCTGGGCTGGTTACCTGTGTTTCTTTTTTTCTTACCCAGGCTCTCACTGAGTTCGTAGACAAAGGACCACCGATTATTTTTTCTGTCCTGTTAATGATGTCCATTGCAAAAACATGAAAGTCTGCACCCCTTAGCATGGAAGGCCAAGCCTTCTATGATCTCAACTCTGCTCACTTCTTGAGTCTTCTACCTTGCTGCCCTGAGGGGAACCTTTTCTCTCTGGCAAGAGATCTGTGGAAGGGAACTGAGAAAATTCTTACAGAGTCCTAGCAACATTTGATCTGCTTACATAGCTTTATTACCTGCCTACTACATGCCAGGAATTCTACAACAGACTGGGATAAAAAGATACTTTACAAAGAGGCATAACATATTCTGGAAGAGAAGTCTGTTTTCATTCAGAATGCTATAACAGAATACCATAGAGTGAGAGGCTTAAAGAATAAGCATTTTAAACAACAGACACATTTCTCACAGTTCTGGAGACTGGGAAGTCCAAGGTCAGGTGACTGACAGATCTGGTGTCTTGTGAGGGCACTTTCCCTGGTTTGCAGATGGTTTGTGAATGGCTATCTTCTCATCATCTCCTCACATGGGGGAGAAAAAAAATCACCTCTCTTGTGTCTCTTCTTATAAGGGCACTAGTAACTTTTTGTTTTTTTGAGACAAATTCTCGCTCTATCGCCCAGGCTGGAATGCAGTGGCATGATTTTGGCTCACCGCAACCTCTGCCTCCTGGGTTCAAGTGATTGTCCTGCCTTAACCTCCCAAGTAGCTGGGTGTATGCCACCACGCCCAGCTAATTTTTGTATTTTTAGTAGAGATGGGGTTTCACTGTGTCTGCCAGGATGGTCTCAATCTCTTTACCTCATGATCCACCCACCTCAGCCTCCCAAAGTGCTGGGATTACAGGTGTGAGCCACTATGTCCGGCCCAAGGGCACTAATATCATTTGTAAGGGCTCCCCCTCATGACCTAATCATGTCCTAAAGGCCCCCCGCTCCTACTACCCTCATCTTGGGTGTTAGTATTTTAACATGAAATTAATTGTTGGGGGCACATTCAGTTCACAACACAGCCAAAGACACGAATGCTTTGGCAGCACATTTACTAAAATCGGAATGACACAGAGAAGATGAATATGGCCCTACACAAGGATGATACACAAATTCGTGAAGCATTCCATGTTTTAAAAAAATTATAAAAAAGAAAGAGACAGGCTAGACGTAGTGGCTCACACCTGTAATTTTTTGGGACGCTGAGGCGGGCGGATTACCTGAGCTCAGGAGTTTGAGACCAGCCTGGCCAACATGGTAAAACCCTGTCTTTACTAAATACAAAAATTAGCTTGGTGTGGTGGCTCACGCCTGTAATCCCAGCTACTTGGGAGGCTGAGGTAAGAGAATTGTTTGAATCCAGGAGGTGGAGGTTGTAGTGAGCCGAGATGAGGCCACTGCACTCCAGCCTGGGCAACAGAGTGAGACTCTATCTCAAAAAATAAAAGAAAGAGAGAGAGAGAAAAAGGAAGGAAGGAAGGAAGGAAGGAGGGAGGGAGAGAAGGAAGGAAGGAGGGAGGAAGGGAAGGAAGAAGGAAGGAAGGAAGGAGGGAAGGAGGGAAGTAGGGAGGGAGGGAGGGAAGGAAGGAGGGAGGAAAGGAAGGAAGGAAGGAATCAGTACGTACCTTTCAGAACATAGTTTTGAAGAAAAAGTAGGAAGTGGCTGAGAGAAGCTACAGGTATGTGTTTTCAATAAAAGGAATAGCATAAGCAAAGACGGGGTTGAAACAGGACAGCAATTGCTGGGACACTCAGAAGTCGGAGTTTGAGAGTGGCAGATTGGGCAGCTGGAGAGGGAGATCAAGGGTAACCAACTGCTCCACTTTGCCCAGAACGGTTCCCGTTTTAGCAGTGAAAGTCCCCTGTCCCTCAGTCCTGAGCAAACCAGGATGGCTGGTCACAGTAGGACAGAAGCCAGGCTGCAGAAGTCTTACATGCCATGTCAAGAAGCACGCCCTTTTTGTTGTTGTTGTTGATTTTTTTTTTTTTTTTTGAGATGTAGTCTCACTCTGTCACCAAGGCTGTAGTGCAGTGTTGAGATCTCAGCTCACTGCAATCTCTGCCTCCCAGGTTCACCCAGGTCTCCTGCCTCAGCCTTCCAAGAAGCTAGGATTACAGGTGCCCGCCACCACATCTGGCTAATTTTTGTATTACTAGAGACAGGGTTTCACCATGTTGTTCAGGCTGACCTTGAACTCCTGACCTCAAGTAATCCCCCCACCTTGGCCTCCCAAATTGCGAGCTGCTGCACCCGGCTGAGAAGCACATTCTTGATCCATGAGGATCAAGAGCCACTAAGGGTGACAGGAAGCATCTGGAAAAACATCATGGAGCTGCATTAGCAAGCACAGGGGCCACAGTGGGCCAGCCCTACACAAGACAGAGGAAGGCAAAGTCAAGTCTCATGGCTTTTGCTGTCCCACTCGTACAGGAAAATTCAAACATGTAAACACAAAAAAAGAAAAGAAAAGAAAAAACATTGTTAAAGAGGCAGGAAGGCAAGGATGGAGGGTGAGACTGGAAGTCTGGAGTTCTGTGTTTATTCTTTCCACTTACTCACACAAGCTCTGGAAGCTTCAGTTTCCACATCTGTGAAATGGGATAATACCTACCTCCTTGGTTTGTTTTGATGATCAAACAACAGAGTGCATGTAAAAGAGCTTGGTACACTATAAAGCACTATATGAGTATTACTAATAAGACGACTGTCACTCAAAATATCCCCAACCACATCAATCTAGAAAGCGTAATTTTGGTTGTAACTGTATCACATTGCTTACTGATTTCAACAGCACTCCGTCATCATTAACAACTCCTGCATGTCAGCAGGCTTGCGTGGCGCTGACAGAGGCTGAGAATTGCTAGGGGAAAGCCAGTCCAGATTTCTCCTCCTTTCCCCACATTATAAACATTTAGGCCAGGTGTGGTGGCTAACACCTGCAATTCCAGCATTTTGGGAGGCTGAGGCCGGCAGATCACTTGAGGCCAGGAGTTCAAGACCAGCCTGGTCAACATGGTGAAACTCCATCTCTACTAAAAATATGAAAATTAGCCAGGCATGGTGTGAGCCTGTAATCCCAGCCACGTGAGAGGCTGAGGCACCAGAATTGCTTGAAGCTGGGAGGCAGAGGTTGCAGTGAACCGAGACTACGCCACCACACTCCAGCCTGGGTGACAGAGTGAGACTTGGTCTCAAAATAAATTTAAAAATTAAAATTAAAATTAAAAAATAAACATTTTAACTAGGTGAAGTGAAATTGAAAAGAGCAAGAGCAGAGCATGTGGACAGAAAGGAATGGGAAATATTTGTTCTAGACCCCAAAATATGGGTTGATGTCAGGTCAGATCATACCCGGTTTATGGTCTGGTCTTTTCTTTTCTTTCTTTCTTTTTTTTTTTTTGAGACTGAGTCTCACTCTGTCATCCATCATCCAGGCTGAGTGCAGTGGCGCAATCTCGGCTCACTTCAACCTCTGTCTCCTGGGTTCAATTGATTCTCCCGCCTCAACTTCCTGAGTAGCTAAGATTACAGGCACCCGCCACCACGCCTGGCTAACTTATATTTTTAGTAGAGATGGTGTTTCACCATGTTGGCCAGGCTGGTCTCGAACTCCTGACCTCAGGTGATCTACCTACCTTGGCCTCCTAAAGTGCTGGGATTACAGGTGTGAGCCACCATGCCCGGCCTGCTTATGGTCTTTTAATAATTACCTTTTGCCTGGAAATCAAAGCTCACACTTCTTGATCTGGCCCTTATTTACTTCTCTAGGTTCTTTTTTCTTTTTTTTGGGACAGGGTCTTGCTCTGTTGCCCAGGCTGGAGTGCAGTGGTATGATGATGGCTCACGGCAGCTTCAACCTCCCAGGCTCAAATAATCTTCCTGCTTCAGCCTCCTGAGTAGCTAGGACTGCAGACGTGTACCACCATGCCTAGCTAATGTTTTGTTTTTTTTGTGTGTAGAGATGAGGTCTCTTTATGTTGCCCAGACAGGTCTCGAACTCCTAGGCTCAAGTGATCATCCCATCTTGGCCTCCCAAAGTGCTGGGATTATAGGTGTGAGCCACTGCACCTGGCCTCTAGGTTCTCTTTAGTCCTTTGCTCTTGTGTAGTTTACGTTTCAACCACAGCAGACTGCTAGCCACAGTGGAATTTGTTGTTATTGTCCACCTGCTCTTTCCCTTCTCTCTTTGTCTGAACTTCCTCCTGGCCTATACCTCCTTAGACACCCAATGTGAGTTCAGATGCTACCTTCCGTTGAAATCGACTTTGGCTTCTTCAGACATGGTCAGACACCTGTGAGCCTATAGCATGCTGGGCACTTTTCTAGAATAGGGGAGAATATCGTGTAGCAGAAGAGCATTGGGTTTTTTATCACAGTCCAGCTTTTAAGCCCAGATCTACCATTTTCTTTGGATGAGGTGTAGGAGAAGCACCAGCGTGGATTGTGAAAAGCATGGATTCTGGAGCCAGACAGCCTGGCTATGGAACTTGGACAAGGTACCTAAATCCTTGGTCCCTCAGCACCCACGGATGTAAAACGAGGGTGATCATATTACAGCCCTCCTCAAAGGATAGTTGTGAAAGTAAAATGAGTTAATAAAAAAATAAAATGAGTTCCATAAAAAGAAAAACTGAGGGCTGGGTGAGGTGGCTTTTGCCTATAATCCCAGCACTTTGGGAGGCTGAGGTGGGTAGATCACCTGAGATGGGGAGTTCAAGACCAGCCTGACCAATGTGGTGAAACCCCGTCTCCACTAAAAATACAAAAATTGGTTGGATGCAGTGGCTTATGCCTGTAATCCCAGCACTTTGGGAGGCCTAGGCTGGTGGATCACATGAGGTCGGGAGTTTGAGACCAGCCTGACCAACATGGAGAAACCCCATCTCTACTAAAAATACAAAATTAGCCAGTCGGGCATGGTAACCCATGCCTGTAATCCCAGCTACTCAGGAGGCTGAGGCAGGAAAATCACTTGAACCCAGGAGGCAGAGGTTGTGGTGAGCTGAGATTACATCATTGCACTCCAGCCTGGACAAGAGCAAAACTCTGTCTCAAAAAAATAAAAATAAAAATAAAAAGGTAGGCATGTTGGTGTACACCTGTAATCCCAGCTACCTGGGAGGCTGAGACAGGAGAATTGCTTGAACCTGGGCTGCGGGGGCTGCAGTGAGCCGATACCGCAGCACTGCACTCCAGCCTGGGCAACAGAGGGAGACTTTGGTCTCAAAGCAGCAACAACAAAATAAATTAGAAAATAGTAAATAAAAACACTGAGAACAGGCTCTGACACATGCTTGTCTGCTCTGGTTATTAATCCCACAGTTTCTTCTGTCGTGTAAAGGGAGTAACACTCACTGGTGCGAGCGGATATGAAGATGGCAGGAGATAAGCAGGCCTGCTTGACGTAGACAAAGACTCTTTTTCTTGCCCTTTACCTCTTGCCCTTGGAATTCTAATTCTTTATTTATAGGTATTTCCACCACTAAAATCTCCCGGCTTCCCCAGGGAAGAGAAAGGCTCACCCATCTTTGTGTTCCCAGCCTCTGGCACACACTAGGTGTTCAAGAAATGCTTGGTGAATGAATTGATAAAAATGTAGTAGTAGAAAAACTTAAAATGGCCTTAAAGTCCTATTAGCAATATCCAAAAAGGGCACCAAATAGGAATGTTAATCCCTAAGATCCTGTATCTTTATAAATCAGTGTGAAAATCACTGTTTTTGAGGGTTTTTTTTCCCTCTTAATTTTGTGTTTGTATTTCTTGGTGTTGTCCCACTCCTCCCCAGGTCTTCTTTCTTCTCTGTACCTCTGTACTCTGCATTAATCTTCGACAGGGTTTCTCAACCTTGGCACTAACAGCTTTTTTTTTTTTTTTTTTGAGACTGAGTTTCGCTCTTGTTACCCAGGCTGGAGTGCAATGGCGCAATTTCTGCTCACCACAACCTCCGCTTCCTGGGTTCAAGCAATTCTCCTGCCTCAGCCTCCTGAGTAGCTGGGATTATAGGCACGCACTACCATGCCCAGCTAATTTTTGTATTTTTAGTAGAGACGGGGTTTCACCTTGTTGACCAGGATGGTCTTGATCTCTTGACCTTGTGATCCACCGCCTCGGCCTCCCAAAGTACTGGGATTATAG